ATATATAATATATTATTTTTTATAATATTTATTTATTATTTTAATGTTTATCACTATCAAAATTTCAATATATTTTTTTTGGAAATCGTTAATTCATTTCAACGTTGAATGTTTTTGAGTGGATCGATTTTAGAAAAAAAAAGTCTTATTAGGAAATCTTTTTCTATTTAAGAAAACAATATCACTAATAATAAATCTCGAAGAAAAACAATATCACTTTTTCAAAAAAAATAAAAATGAAAAAAGAAACACGTTAGGGAAAACGCCTACAAATATCTAAATGCAGAAATTATTAAGATGATGGGTGTTAAACTTAAAACTTTGTTTTTATTTATTCATTTTCTTGTGAAACATAAATAAAATACTCGATTGTTTCACAAAAAATGTTCTAAACTTACAATAAGGTGACACTGCTTATCGAAAGTTAGACAAAAGAAAACGTATTCTAATTTTAAATACGATTCTCTCTTATTCTCATTTCTTCTGTTTGTTTTTCATTATGTTTTGACTTGTGTTTTGCTCAAGTTGTATAAATTTGGTGTTTCCTTTGCTGTAAATATTGGAAATTTGAATGTTAATTTAATGAACCAAGTCTTTGCAGACTATTGCAATTCCATACATTTATCAGATGCTTAAATTGTTTAATTAAGATATTAAGGACAGGTTTAATTTTTATATACTTATCTAATATTTTTATAGCTCCGAAACATTATAACGGTAGCATCAAAATTTAGTCAATCAGGTAATGTAACCCAAAAGTACAAACATTGAATTATCTGTCTAATAAATAATATTCTACCACATTCACACAACGCCATCTAGTCCCAAACTAAGCAGAGCTTGTACTATGGGTACTAGACCACTGATATAAATACATATAGAGTTTTTTTTTGTAATTACATACATATTATGCATAGGAACACCCAGACTAAATCAAACATTAAATGTTCAAGCACACAAATGTTTCACTTAAGCAGGAATCGAACCCGCGACCTTTGAATAGCAGTCCTGGGATACTTTTAACTCCATCTACGTATAAATAAAAAAAATGACATTAAGTCAACATAATAATAACACCGATGATATTTTGAGGCAAAACCATGTCTTGCTTTTAGATTCCCTTCTGAAACTGAAATGACTGTTGTCTGAAGTTGTGCGTAGTAGTAGTAGGACCCTCGTGCACAAAAGAATGTTAGAATAATAAGAAGGAAGGATGACTGTGTTTTCTGAAGTACGGCGTGATAAGGATTGTTACAATTAGTTTTACGAGAAGAATATCGTTGTTGTGACTTATTTAGAAAAACAAAAACTCAACAATTTAAAGCCAAAGTAAGTTTTGTTATATATGAAACTGATGAAACAACGCGGCGACGTTAGATTGCGACGTTTGGTGTTTAAGACTATAGTCTTAAACACCAAAATGAATGTGTAATTGAAAGAAAATTGCTAGGACTAATAAAATAGACCAATAAAAGTATCAAAATATGAGTATCTTAGTAGACATTAAAAATTGCCAATTAATTGTAAAAAGATATAAATTAACATTCCTGAATACTTTAGATGTAACTGATATCTGTTTATTAAATACAATTCAGTTTCTACAGTGATAACATCACTTTAATGAGTATGAAGAAGTATTTAGAACTAAAGATTGGTCATCTTATCATTTTCAACGTTCATATCGTGTGCATAGATAGTAATGTTTAAAATCAGCGATAGTCTAAACATGTTTATACAATTAAGATTATTGTATCTTGTCGATCTTATCGTGATTGCCATATTAAAATATAAATACAAGATATGTAAGCGACTCCATTGAAGTTAATATTAATTAAAGAGTAACTTAATAGGTCACTGCTCATCCGTAGGTCGAAATTCAGTCTTAATTATTTAAACTTTTGAGTTTATTAAAACTCTACTGAAGATCGGACTAAATACGTAACATATTTTTAGTAGTAGTCACCAATATCTGCTAAATAAGAAACACTGTTTAGTGCCTTTCGAGTCTGTGTATAGCATAGTGTGTGACTCCGAAGTTTATTTTTGTCCATTTTAAACCAATGCACTTATTCAATCTTACCAATGCACTATGTATAACTAAATGTGTTTTTAGGATTTTGAATTTTTACGAAATTACCCAAGTAATGGCAGAGACGACACGCGACTGTAACTAATATTACTAAGCGAAACATAGCCTTCATAAGCATGTAGACTTTTTTTCCGATTCAGTGATCCGATTGCGAAATATTAAGCTTTGACACATTGAAAGCATTGTTTTTGAAAGACGTTTTATTCATAGGATTGTTATTTTCAAAGTTCTTTTAACCGCTTTCAGTGTGATTCATTTAATAGCAACACACGTATAAATTAAAGCGTACCAGAACGCTTACAGTTTCTAAGCCGCGGACAGACGGACATGTCGAAATTATATAGATTCCTTGTCTAACAAGGAACTTGTCACGAGAGAAGAAAAAACGACGAACAGAAGTACCTGTAACAATAAGGTTCATATTTCTTCCACGTTTAACACAAACATACCTATTGAAAGTATTATTACATGGTAAGAGGCGGCCTTTGGGGGTGGCGAGCAGGGCAACCGCCCGGGGCCTCGCGCACTCGCGCCACAACCCAAGTAGATGTGTTTGTTTTGTTTGTTTGAATGTTTGTTGTTGTATGTTTATTTGAATCTCACATTATAAAACTAACGTCACGTCACATCACGTATTTCATTCATTCCAGCTTCCGGCTTAAATGCTTTTATGTTCGAGCAGCAGTATGTGTAGCGTTGATTTTTTTTTGTTCCAAGCATCATTAATACTAATTCCACAAAGACAAGGGCCTCGCAATGGTCTACTTGCGCGGGGTCTCTTAATGTTTTACCTGCCCAGGGCCTCGCAATGGCTAAGGCCGCCACTGCATGGTATAGTCTGCTTTTTTAAAACAGCGGTTTTGAGATCTAGTCAAGTGATACAGATGATGAGACAGGCGAGATTTGGGTAAGCTTTAAAGTTAATAGAGTGTGAAATACCTGTAAGTATTCATGAACTGTTCAAGCTTGATTGCGCAGTCAAATTTCTCACAATAGTTTATTGAAATATTATTCTAGGAATTCACTACTTACCGCCGACTAAGAGAGCAAACTACGCAGAATAACGGCACTGCAGAGAGAAGGAAAACTTGGCACAAACCCTTTACCAACCCGTCTGGCTAGCGTGGTACAGTAAGCCAAAGCCTACTTTCTAAGGAGAGGCCTATGTCCAGCAGTGGACTATTTGAGGCTGTTGACGATGATGACAACCTCATTTACATACAAGTAGCTTCTATATTAAATTAATGTATATTGATTTTAATATATACAGACACATCGATTTGATAGGCATTTTATCACTGTTTAATATTATTTATCATTTCGTCAGGTAAAACCATTTAACAATGATAGGCTATGATAAATTATTTCTGTCAAATTGCACACATTTAAATCAAGAATCATTTGATAAGAGTAGTCATTAGATCTCAATGTTATTATTAAATTAAAATTACAAAAAATAAACTGACACTTTTCTAAAACTGTCCTAACAGTGATCCACACAATAAAGTTGTCAACTAAAACTAACAGAGCTAATTGATCCCCGATACTTCTTGTTCTAAATACGTTAATGTCACCTACATAAATAGTACATACTACCATCATGTTTTCTTATAGTTTGTTTCTTGTCATTTAAATAGGCAAATGCCTTTCTGCAGGTTAAATATTTTCACTATCAAATCAAAAAGTGAAAAAATTAACATAACGACTCGTTCAAAGCATTCATTTTTAGGACTAAGCAAATTTAAAAAACACGATGCTTTATATAAAGAAATGGATTTTATAAATGAATAAAAAAACTGCGTGTGCAATTCACACACGGCAGAAGTAAAACTTCAAAAAAAAAATTATTGAAAATAATATGTAATATATTCTATCTCATTCTCTCGCCGGCTTAATACTAAACATTTATGCGTTTGTTTCTTTATCGTGACGCAAATCACAACGATTTTAAAGAAGTTTGAATTCAATAACTTGTTATTAGGATCAGATTCTTTCATGATTTAAGAAATTCTTTATTCATCCTGGTGATTACAAATAAATATAATATGAATAGTGTAAAAAAGATATTACAGCTTACTACTATTTTTTCCCCATTTGTCACCAGTGAGAATAACCGAAAAGATTGACAGAAGGTCTAAAATAAAGGGACCTTAATGCTTATTGAAGATGTAATAACTATCGTTCATCACATTTCCTCGGCAATATGAAGTAACAGTTGTTGCCTTTCATCTAAACAAGAAGTAAAAGGAAAAATATCAATGGGCGAAAACTTTGTTTCACACACATCTTTTAGCTTCACTTACAACTGTTGGGCAAAAGTGATGGTGAAGGTTAGTACGCAATACCCGCCAGCAATCAGTTCTACCACGGAAATCGTATATTATTACGATTTCAATGAGTTCTACACATCAGTGACATGTTCTTGGAGTCTAACAGCATTTGGCGTCTAGCAACATCCGATACTTGTTTCAAAGTTCTTTAGAGATTTGCTAGTTTTTTTTAATGTTTTTTTCTATGCTGCATAATAACTTAGCGCTTGTTAGAAATTTCAATTATTTAGGTTCTATTTTTTTAAATTTTCTAAGTCATTTTCATAATGTAAATTAAAATGTGATAGCTGCAAAATGAAAAATATTTATTTAAGGCACGTGTAGCTTAGTGGGATTTAAAATTACACGAGGGAATTTCCCTTATCAGTTCTGAAAAGCTAATGAAATCAACACGCTAACAGATTAATAATTATTAACGGATATGAATATGAGTAATAGGTGCGTATTTAATTTTTTTATCTGATTTAAAGAGAACAAACAAATTGATAATGACTATGTGAGAAAATATATATTAGTATAAAAGCCATTGCCACAGAAAACAATACTCAGTGTAACGACATATAGGAGTTCTGTAATACACAATGCGTCTACTATCTATTTTGGCCGTTTGCGTCACGGCTGTTGCCGGTAAGTTGGTTAAGTGTTTATGATAATTATTACTCTTTCTCTCGATTAATAAGAAGATAAATCTCGAGAGATCTCGATCTCTCGAGATTTAAATTCTTATTCTTCTTTCTTCTTTTCATCATTTATATCGTGTTAGAAAACAAGTAGATTGTAGTTAAAAATTCTGTTAGATAAATACTATTTTTACCCATCTCTTATTGTATTACATAATTCTTTTTTTTTTTTTTTTCTTTTTTTTTTTAAAGACAACGCCCGCATTAGGAATAAATCCTGTGTCGCGGGGGACTTTACAAACATACATGAAACGGACACAAAGAACACCCAGACTCAGAACAACAATTTGTGGATCACACAAAGTGTCGTCCCATGTGGGGTTTGAACCCACAACACTCGGCGTAGTAGGAAGCGGCGTGGCGACCGCTTAAACCACTACGCCATCCGTGCAGTCATCAATTATATGACTTAAATATAAGTTTACACTAGAATATTCACATTATTGCAAATACCATTAAATACAACTAATATCTATCGAAACGTTTTTAACTGTAGCTTAGAAGAAGTTAATATTGATTTATCTTATTAATTTAAATTATTAATATTTATCATAATGTCTTCCAATTATAATAATTTTTTATAACTACATGTTCTAAAGTTTAATTTTACAAACTCTAGCATAGGCATATTTACTAGCAAAAAGAAAATAAACGATTAGACAAAATGTAATACTGGAAGTGAAATTAGTGTCTTTTGACTGCACGGATGGCGGTAGTGGTTTAAGCGGTCGCCACGCCGCTTCCTACTACGCTGAGTGTTGCGGGTTCGATCCCCACAAGGGACAACACTTTGTGTGATCTACAAATTATTGTTCTAAGTCTGGATGTTCTTTGTGTCCGTTTCATGTACGTTTGTAAAGTCTCCCGCGACACAGAATATATATATATATATCTATATCAAATTCTTTTAATAAATAAAGAAAAATAAAAATTGTTAGTGGTCTAAAATATTACTAGTCCTTAGCTGAAACAATAAAATAGAAACCAAAAATTTGAGGACTAATAAGTCATGTATATAAATTGATTTAATAAAATGATATTTACTATAAAAGACATCACGACAATTAATTATTTTATTACTTATAGCCGCTCCATCCAGCGATCTATCTCCGAGAATCGTTGGTGGTACAGCATTTCCTATTCAACAATGGCCCCAAATAGCTAATGTCTTGTTCACATGGGACACGGCTACCTTCGGACAATACTGTGGTGGAACTATAATAAGCAATAGGTTTATTTTAACAGCTGCTCATTGTATTAAGTAAGTAAAATTCTTAACATTACATTGCTAAACTTTCACATAATTTCACCTTAATACCTCTCATTGTATACCTATTTATAAAATAAGGTAGTGTTCCATTGTTTATTACTATCCGACCTATCCGTTTTAAACAAGTAACAATTTACTGTACTGTGTAGTGAAGGTATACTCGTATTTAGTAAGTTGGTTGACTAATCACTTTTAAACTAATGAAGCTACCTTGGCCTTAATAAAAAAATATCAATCCGTTGTATAGACTACTATTATCATGGTTTTTTAAAACTATTTTTCACGGTTTGCTTGTAAACTCTTAACCCCTCCCCGCCTAAACTAAATTTCCAACAAAAAATAACACTTTAAGAATATTTTGTATTCAAACCAAAAATAGCGTTAACACTCCTCCATTCTTTTTGTAAAACCTATCTAACGAAATCCTACATTAAATAATAGGTTAGAATAAAATAAATCTTCATCTCACCTCTTAACTATCATCATCTCTACGTATGGCGTAATCTCATCTTTACATATGTATTTTTTTTATGATTTTTACTAAACACTATAATCTTTTGTTTTAGCTTTCATCCAGCAAATAGGTTCCGTGTTCGTGTCGGTTCTGTATTAGCTAGTAGTGGTGGAGTTGCTCACGCCGTTGATGGGGTTATCCCCCATCCCTTCTACAATCCTCAAACCGAAGATCTTGATATCGGTTTAATACGCACCATAAACAATTTGACTTTTACTGCTCAAGTCCAAGCTGCAAGATTTGCCGGTAGTGATTATACTCTTGGCGATAACGAACTAGTTCAAGCTCCTGGATGGGGTGCAGAACGGGTAAGTTTAGGATTTCATAACATTTTAGTTTCATATTCATTTTAGTTTTAACGGAACACGAACCATGTCAAAGTAAAAACGAGGGCGAAAGAATACCTTGGAGAATATCATTATTGTCTTGCAGTATTGAAATCAGTTTAATGAAACAAAATTCATGCCTTTAAATTTAATAAATAAAATAAATAAATGTTATATTTCAGACATCTGACACACAACGCCATCTACTTTCAAACTAATCAGAGCTTGTACTATAAAAGCTAGTGACTGATAGAATACTTATAATATGTGTGAAAAGTGACAGTTTGGCAGCAGTTATTTTAAATTTAGATGTTATATTTATTTAAAAAATGTTAATATACTAAACTAAAAACAACTTCAGGTTTTAAAATTCCTTAGTTTCTTCAGTCAGTCTTACATACTTCCGCATATATTGATTTGACTAGACATCTAAAGTCAAACCAACAAGATTTCATTAAAGTATTATTAAATATACATGTATGTATTATTATATATTGTTTTGCAGACGGGCGGTCCTCGTTCGGAGCAGCTTCATGTGGTCCAAATTTGGACCATCAACCAGAGTGAGTGCGCACAACGTTACAGGACTGAAAATATAGCCATCACCGATAACATGTTGTGCGCTGGCTGGCTCAACGTCGGTGGCCGAGGACAGTGCGATTCTGACGGCGGCGGACCTCTCGTTCACAAAGGCACTGTCGTCGGTGTCTTCTCTTTTACTTTTAAATGCGGAACTCGATTCTATCCCGGTATCAGTACTCGTGTATCTCGGTTTGCTGACTGGATTAATACACATACACAATGGGATTGATTATATACTTGATATAAAATGTCTTTGAGGAAAAATATTCAGCCCTGTGTATTTTTTGCTTCGACAATGTGGAAGTTTAAGGAGTACCCCATAATGCGATCTACTTTAATAGTATTATTTCCATAATTTATGATTTAAGTAATATGTTTTAAAAGCTCATTGACACAGTTATTGTTTTATATTATTTAAAATTAAATTAATGATTACTTAGGTAGTTTGATATTACATGTGTGTAAGTATTCGTTTTGGTTTTATAAACCAAGTTGTGATTGGTATTTTGATTGATTGTATCTTAGTTGAGTACATGAAGATAATATAATGGTTGCTGAGAGGAGTTTAAGGATGCAGATAAAAACAGTAAAATAAAATTAAAACAAATTTTAAATGGTATTTAAATTAGATCTATGGTATGGTTTTCTCTTAACATTTGTGTACCTTTCATTAAAGGTCAAGCAAAATAAAACAGACTAAAGGGTGAAGTTCCTGTAACTGACAAAAACATCATTTACCAAGCACCTATGTTTTAGTAAATATTAAATAAACCATTAATAACGATAATAATAATAACTTTACACAGTCACACACGGCGTCTGATCCCAAACTAAGCAGAGCCTTTACACTTTACTTTTAAACATACTTAAATGTTTCTAAATACATACATATTACTGATTAATTACACACAAAACAAATAATCACATTATATATTTCTTAATAAATCATATTCAGGAGTACCCAAGGGCTCAGTCTGGTCAAAGAATCCTCCATATAGTTTTTAAATGTAATTTAAAAAAAAACAGGGGGTAGGTTGACAAAATTTCGATTAGACATCTACAGGCAATATTTCGAAAAAATGTACCTACTGAAATGGATCAAACAAAAAAAAGGAGTTATTAGATCTAAAACTCTCACTATACATCCTAATCACGTTCTTCTTATAGGGATACTGTGGCAATGGAAAATAAACTAAAGTAAATAAACTTTGCCTCAATTCTGCTATTTCATGTGAACGCCAAACCACTGTCATTCCATAGACACGCTATTGAGATGTCATTGACATGCCACTGACATCGGTCAAAATATCGGTATACTACTAACATAAATTCACAGTGTCAGTAGATTATCGATAAAGTAATATAGTTCATCGATGGTGAAATAAACAACATTGCCATATCATGAAAATTAAATATATCATTTTCTTACAAATTTAAAATGTACCGTTTACCAAAATATTACAAAGACATCGACAACATTTATATCAGTGACAAGTTATAGGGAGGCCATTGGTCTTACATAGTTAGTAGAATAAGAAAAGTGCAAAACTATTTCGACGACATTCCGTAGACAGTCTATTGATATAATATTTAAATAGCAGAATTGAGCCTGTGATAACGCTGTGAAGGTATATATGGACCCACTTCGAAGGGTCGTAGACAAACACACTTACAAAGATAAGATTAGTAGAACCAAATACAACTTAAAACCATGGGTAGCCCCATGGCCTAATGTACTGTTGTGCAAAAATAGCCCTAGTTACCCTATAGCTAAACTGATCTACACTAGATACTGTAACTATTTTGTAGAACTAATGAGAAATATTAGGGATGTTATAACTCAAAACCCAATCAATTGCTCTCCCTTCCTTGAACGAACTATAGGAAACAATTAGCTAACACGACAACTATAGACCCCACCTAACTCTTTCTTTCTCGAACTTATGGACACTACAGAAGTGGCTATGGGTAGAATAGAATAGAATATGCTTTATTGTACACCAATTACAGAAAGTTGGTTATATATTACAGTTGGATAATGTACAATAGGCGGCCTTATTGCTAATAGCAATATCTTACAGGCAACCTTTGGATGGACAAATCGACAGTAGTTAAGAAGATGCAGTGGGTAGTCTAGGTGTATTGAAGCTAACGTAGTGTAAAAATAAATAAATATACATTATATAATTATACATACACTTACATACAAATACATATATAAATATTATATATATAATCTGGATATAAATCTGGATAACAATAAAACCCCCGGTTTTGATGATCTAAGCAATACTCTAGTAAATATCTATAAGAAATTTTATAATTGTACCACTTCAAAACTTCAAAACTTAAAGAAAAAGAAAAAAATGGTTTAAGAGCTACGGTTTGCAGAACATATGAATAATCTGATGAGGAATACGTTCTACGGGCTTAAGGTCTTATATGGTATTCGAGAATTTCTCTCCGAGCACGTAAGGAAGTTAATTTCAGATCTGTTGGTTCATTCATCTTTCAACACATGTCGTATATGGATCTCGGTTTCGTCAAAATACCATAAAATGCATGCAACGTGTCCAAAATGCCTGTGTATACGCTTTTGTTATAAAGTCCTTAAATGGTCGCAGATCTCCCAATTATAAGCGAAACGAGACAACTTAATATGCAATGGCGACGTCACCGACATTTGTTACGTTTTACTCATAAGATAATCACAAGCAAATATCCACTATATCTATACGATAAGTTATCTTGGCGTGTGGACGCGCACAGCTTGAATACTAGGTCTCAGGTAATTTAAAAACTTATCACACGGAAACATAGAAGACAGTTTCAAAAAGGCAGTTCCAAATATGCTTCATCAAATATTTGGAACGATATTCCACCTCCTGTTCGATCTGTAAAGAACACAGTCAGCTTTAAAAATCATTATCATAGTCTGCCTATCGCCATGCACGCCACTTGGATTGATTTTGAGCAAATCCTACCCATGCAGACGCAACAAAGGCTTTAAAAATAAATGTAAAACAATTTATAACTGAAATCCAAAATCATAATACTCGACTACTTTACATTTGAATTGACTAAATTATTGTATTTTTTATTATACTCAATCAATACTATAACAAAATTATGTATTATAATATTTGTACTTAATTAATTTACAACTAAGCCTTTTAACATCTAAGTTTAACTGTCTTATGGTTTTTTACATTCTTGTAACCATATAATGAATGCCCTTCCCCTACTGGCCATATTCATTGTGTTTTAAACAATACACATTATTTATATTTTTACCACATCTGGTAATGTATGGTCATAAAGAAATTCTAATTAAAAAAAAAGTTATTTATATTATTTTTTTGCAAACGGGAGTCAAAGGTTTAAACTGAAAACCAGCACTTGGTAATCCAATTGAAGTCCAAGCATAAGCTGACGCTTAGACCTTAAGTTTTTCTGTATATTTCTACAAAATTGCTGTAATGCTGAAATTAATAAACTGGTTTTCTATTCTTAAGCTGTAGTACTCCAGAAAGACACCGCTTAGCGGGAATCGAAAGAAGGGCGATCCCGAGCTTATAAGACGTCGGTAGCGACACCAGCTGTCGACGGGGCCGCAGGCTGCCAGAAAAATTTGACAATATAATGTTTGGGCCGATAGGCGGGGGGAAGCCTGCGGCTTCCTCAGGATAGGGCTTTAGGCGCAGGCAAAAATATTTTTGTTAATTTTGAACCAGTGGGAGTTCGTTAATAAGTTCACGGGAGAAATTAACAAAAACGTGTCACGACGAATGGACTATCTGGAAGACATTTTACGAAGAAATATTTTTTTACCAGTACCAGGTACATTTACACCACAGTAGGTTTGTCTGAAACACATGTTTTAAATATATTATGTATTATTGACCAGTTTGTTCACACTACTTATAATAAAATGAATAAAGAAGGCATACCGTTACCGGATAATAAGGGCAAACATTCTAATCATCCAAACGTAGTAGATTCTGCAAAGATCAAAAGTGTTTGTGATCATGTAGCTTCCTTCCAACCTCGCATTGCATTACTAGTGTAAAGACCTGGTGTATTTGGACAATAATTTAAAAATGATCAGGATGTTTTCTAAAAACAAAGAATGGGACCAATTTTCAAATTATGAGAATCAAGCGCAAACCCTTCGTCAGTACAGAGACATCGTTGATATTAACATGAACGTTGGATTTTTATTCCCAAGAAGGATATTTGTGACAAGTGTCATAATTTTTCTTACAATTTCTTTCCAATGGAGGAACAAGTACAGACACAATTAAAGAAAAGGCAATAGCTAGGCCGATAAAAAATAATGACAAAGAGCAATCGAGAGAATCACCTGATGTTATGTGTGCTACATTTCAAACTTTTTTAAATTGTCCACATGGAGACGCTGATTTAGTTTATTCCAAGCGTGAACTTTCTGTGATTAATTTCACTGTTATCGATTTAGCTTTAAAAGAAGGTACATGCTATATGTGGACGGAATGTGCCGATAGAAGAGGAGCTAACGAAGTAAGTATCTGTTTGATGCGTTTTGTAAATGAAAAAATAGTGTGTTCTAAAATAAAAATATTTTAGTTCGATAATTGTGTGAGCCGAATAGGAATATAATTGTATATTCATTATACATTTACTTATAGAAACGTTTTGGCGTAGCTATTACTTATCGTTTCTAAGAGCAAGGCCATACTCAGAACGAAGGCGATAGTGTGTGTACACTATGGCCTTCGTTCACATTAAATTTGTTATTATATTGATATATTATTTAATACGACCTGATCTCAGCTCTTTACAGTTAATTAAGGTAACAAAGGCTGAATTTAAATACCTGATGATACATTTAGATAAATACACCTTACTTTAATAAAGATGTTTACTGTAAATTGTGTTCTTGTTGTTCCATTAAAATAATTGTAAGTATAAACAGTTTATAAAGTAAATGATCGAATGTGACACTTCCGATAAAATATTCCTGACATGAACAAACGCAGAATATCGAAATAGGCAGATCTGATTCATTTGTGTATATAAGGGTCCCTGTAAATAAGCGCAAGTGCCAGTTTCAATTCATGAAGTAAGTTCAGTTACGTAGTACTCTCTATCTCTCTTTCTTCTATCGTAACTCAATTTTCTCAAAAACTATTCATAATTATTGATTTTTACTGCAACGTAACAGTTTGTTATCTCAACACAACTATGAGTTCAATTTTTTATGAAGATCTCATCATTAATCACAAAGTAAACTTTAAATCGCTCTCCTGAAAAGTAGCTATTTTCACTTTCGATACTTTACCTAGGGATCATAGATATATTAGGGGTTAAAGTATGAAATTGCCGATTTGTACTGAAAAATTTAAACTCTCTCTCTTTTTTCTAACATGTAATATGTTACATTTTAGAAAAAAAACAATATTTATTTGATCAAAATATGTACCCTCATTATCTCTACATTGCTGTCATCTAAACGGAAGTGCATTTATGCCTTAATGATAGAACTCCTGGGATCTAGATTCGACAAACTGTGTGAAAGCATTTTGTACTGCCTCCTGGGAAGATTTTTTTTATCACGTAGAAAATTGTCCAAATCACAAAAAAAATGGATTCCGTTGGAGCAAAATCTGGCGAGTATGGATATTTGGGGTACATCCCTAGTTATTTGTCATATAACTACTTCTTATCTGTCATTCGGACAATATACTTATGCTTTAGAAAATGGTGGTTGTTTTCACTTAATTAATTACTTAAAATGACCGGGGGCACAACAACGAAGGATGACGTATGGTTTCTAACTGCAGCTCCTGTACAGTTACAAGGGTTTCTCGTGCAGTGTGAGGTCTTGCGTTATCATAGAGCAATAATGGTGAAGATGGATTCACAAATCGACTGGCATGGACTCACAATGGCTGTTTCACTGCCGGTTTCGCCATTATTGTTCGAAGTTTGGCACAGTAAACATCTGCCTGGCCAGACATGAGAAAGCTATAGTGAATAACACCATTACCTTTTTATTGGTAAGCTTTCCTTTAGGGCACAGTTGCGGCGTTTGACCTGAGGTCAGCCATTGCATTTTTCGCTTACGGTTATTGTAAACAATGCACTTTTCGCCATATGTCACAATTTGAACCAATATTCTCGCATTTCTATACCGATTCAACAGGGCAACACAAGTATCAACATGCGTTTCTTTCTACAGATCAGTCAAATCCTGAGGCACTTATTTTTATATTTTATTATTTTATTTGATGCAAATCAGTCAATATTGTAGGTAGGGTAACCTTAAGCCATGCCGCTAACTCCTGAGTAGTTTGACTCGGATCGGCCTCCACCATCTCCTTCAATTCAGCATTAATTACCTGAGTCTTCCATGTGGTTTGTTCTTGAAGTTGAAGTTTCCATTACGAAAGCGTTTAAATCAAAAACGCACGGTGCGTTCATTAGCAATCTCCTCTCTAAACGCAGCGTTGATATTGCGAGCCGTTTTGCCAGGTAAGTCCGCGTCGACACTCGTAGTAAAAAAAATGAAGTATCGATGTTTCATGTCTAAGCCAAAAAAAATATTAATAGGTCTATACCTATGAAATTGCCGTTTTGTATGCAATAAGTTAAAGTACTTATTTTTTCAAACTTTTTATTTCTGTTATTCGAAGTAATCACCCATGCAATCAACGTATCTTTGCCAACGCATTGGCAGTTTATTGAAAAATCTTTGAATTATTCTTGTAAAAATCAGCTGGACGGGAGGCAACAAACTCTTCAAAGGCATTTTGTACTGCCTCTCGGGAATTGAATTTTTTACCCACTAAAAAGTTGTCTAAATTTTGGAAAAAGTAATAGTCGGTAGGTGCAAGGTCTGGTGGTCACATCTGCAACCAGCTTTGGTCAATCGGTCGTCCCCACTGCTCCTTCACGACAACGCGCGACCCCATACTGCGCAACAAACAGTCTCCAAGCTGCAAGAGCTGGGGTTGGAAGGCCTCCCCCTTATCCGCCATACTCACCAGACCCTGCACCTACCGAATAACAGAAATAAAAAAGTTTGAAAAAATAAGTACTTTCACTTATTGCATACAAAACGGCAATTTCATAGGTAAAGACCTATTATATTATAGACGAAAATCCAATGTTGCACCTTTTTTTAAAGAAGAACTTCATAGCTAATAAGTTTCACACGTAAATCTCACACCATGAAGGTTTTATGTCAATTCAAAATATCTAATACTATACAACGGTACTTACGAGTATATAAAATGCAGTAGGAAGTGACTGTATTGGCCAAAAATATACGTCCACATAGCCGAGAGTAAATTTTCATATGTGAATTATTGAATTTTTAACTTATACCTGTTTTTTATTTAACCGTTCTTATCCAAATTCTTTGAATGTCTTATACATACTAATTGAACTAACTTCTTCATCATCATCATCATCATCAGCCTATCGCAGTCCACTGACATAAGCCTCTCCCATTGAACTAACATTTTCTTTATAAATTCTTTGCTAAACTACTACCAATCTGAAAGTCAGATTACTATTCTGATCACAGTACTATTTCTACAATAGTTTACATTATGTAACATAACAGAAGTATTAGCATAACTTAGTTACTTCATTTTTTTATTAAGACTGGTACGAGTATTATGAAGTCTCATAATGAATCTTCTAGGTAAATTTATTCGTTTAATAGTTAACTGTTTTTTTCACTGGCTAGACAGCGTATACGCATTGAATACTGAATTTTCTTTTATATTTATAGGAGGTAAACAGACAGGTCACCTAATGCTTAGTGACTAACTAGCACTAGTTACAAGTGCGCTCTTATATTAAAACTTTGGGGGTTGTATAATAAAAAATACATTGCCATTAAACATTCATTTGAAACAATATAATTTTAATACAGTGTTTGAAATTGTAAAAAAATATGATAGATCTTATTTGTTCGCATTAATCCAATCCGAGGCATGGGTTATACGAGCGTTGACACTGGGAAAGAAGCGAACGCCACAGTTGATGCTAAAAGAATAAAGGCCGACCAATACATTATTGTGGAAAAGAGGACCGCCGGCGTCACCTTCGCATTGGCCACGGCCTGCAACTTCGAGCCAGCCAGCGCACAACATGTTGTTCGTAATTACTACATTTTCAGTATTATAATGCTGCACACATACATCCTGGTTGATAACGAAAAGTTGTACTTCACGAAGTTGTTCAGAACGAGGACCACCAAACTGCAAAATGTATAGAAGATTATTTACAATTATATTTCCTTTAAGTGCAGGTCGTCAAACGTTGATTTTAAGTATCTTCCTTAAAAAAACTACTCTAATGCTAATATTAAGAATACTAATACTACTAGCAATACTTAAGTTAACTTTACGCACATACTACACATAGCAGATCCAGACCTAACTTATACAACTCTCCAGTAATTTTAAGACCCCACATAACTAAAGATCGGATAATAAATACCATATATAAATCCGACATAAATAAATGTGATTCGTTGTATCGTATGGATAAACTATTTTATACTTCGCTACTCAATTCTATATATTTTGAATTGCCTAACATATTAGAAACATACAAGATTACACAGCATTTTATCAAATATTTTTATAAAGCATGTTGTAAAACTTACTCTGGCCGCTCCCCATCCAAGAGCACTAACAATTTCGTTATCATCTAGTCTGTAATTAGTGTCAGCAATAGACGCAGGTTGGATTTGATTAGTAAAATTTATTAAGGTTGCACTGCGTATTAATCCAAAATCGTTGTCTTCGGTATGTGAATTGTAGAAGGGGTGAGGAATGAGTTCCGCAACGTTAATAGAAGTTCCACCACTACTTGCTAACACAGAAGCAACACGGATACGGAACCGGTTAGCTGGGTGAAAACTATAAAAAAAGAAATTTATTTAATACAATTTGAAGTAAAATGAACTTTTATAACATTAAGAAACATTTACCTGATACAATGAGCAGCAGTTAGAACAGTTTGCTGGGTTAATACAGTTCCGGAACAGTATTGTGAAAACGTAGTTGAATCCCAAGTGAACAGGACATTGGCCAACTGGGGCCATTGTTGAATGTTGGGAATATTTCTACCACCTAGTATTCTTGGGGCTATGTTTGAACTTGGAGCAGCTAAAATAAAAATGAAAATTTTGCCAATATTACGATTTTCGTAGTTTTTGTAGTTTTTTTTAACATGAACTATTATGATCGTTGGATACTGATATAAAGTGATTTATTTATTAATTTAATTTACAATCCTTTCGACATTGATGCTTTCAGTTATGTGTTATTGATAATGTGTTAATATTTTAACTATGAAGTAAAGTATGGTTAAATAGAAAGTATGTAAATTAAATAGAAATTCAAACAAGTTTTTTCTATCCCAGCTTGCACTAAGCTGGTGTGTACCTTTTATTAATATTGATATCTTAATAAATGGTTTTTTTCTCAACCAATTATAGTTAGGGAATAGACTGATTTAATTTAGTCTATCAGTGATTTCATTCTTACTATTTTGCTGATAAAATTTATTACTGCATTAATCGGTAATTCAGTTAAATCTTGGCAAAAAAACTTGACAAGTGAACTAGGTACAACAACATTTTTTAAAATATTTTTCTAATTAATAAGAAAAAGATTATTTAACTAACTTACCAGTGGCAGCAGTAAAGCATAAAACTAAAGCAGTTATTAGACGCATATTGCAACTTTTTCTATGTTAAGTTAATAAAGTTACTTGAAACGTCATAACACTGTAATTTATTTGAAACGGTAATGGCTTTTATACTGAAACGCAGTTAAGTGCCCCCCACACTCACTCATAATCAATTAATCAATCAATATATTCATATCTCTAAATTAATCAATTCTATAGAAGTAACTTAATAATTATTCAGTGCTTTTAGGTGATAACACTAATGACATGCATTGATGAATATGAATGATAAGTGATTAAGAATCGTTTTTTATCGAAATATCAAAAACTTCTATAAGTTCTTCAATATTCTTGTATTAAAGAAGTGGTGCACTGACATTTTCATTTTAATAAATGAGTGGTAAAACATATAAATAATATAATTTAATAATTCATTTATTCTAAAATTCTTTCTTTTTAACAGAATTGTCGAAAACTACGCCATTTGTTCACCTTACCGGGACTAAATGACAAGGTGGTATTACTAAAGGTGTCCCCGCCAATAATCTCTCCCTTCTACGACTTTCAAACACTATGCAATTTTGTTTTTTAATCTTTTCGTGTATATTTCTATAAATATATCTGCAACTTCAATATGAAAATGGATAAACAAAATAGGTATAAAAAGTGCTTCAAAGAGATGTTGGAACGTTTTCACAAGCTGTGCTTCTTACCAATAAAACTCTTCAAATTGTAAAAAATATAAGTCTTTATTATTCACGAATCCTTAGTAAAGCGAGATAGAAATGCAAGTTAAAACTAGCGTTCACGAGCTGCATATAATACCATAATTTGGTCTACGGTGATAAAAGACGGAATAAATGTGGGTCGTGTGGTATGTCATCGTTGGTTGTTGTTAAGCCGATGTTTTACGAGTATTCTTACTCGGTTTCTCCGTAGGTCTTATCGTAAATATATCCAGTGAAACCCCGTTGTCCGATATTGTATAATTACCAAACAGGTTTGACATATATCCTAATTACAGTTCCTTCGGTACGCGAATGGTTCGGTAGGCACTTCGATTAAATTCTACCAAGTTAGCGCTCTTGACGTATTTATGCAAATGCCATGCATACACTTTGTATGACACAGGCCGGTTGACCAGCAGTGCTTAAAGTTATGGACTAGTTTTTCTGGTGGCAAAGAAAAAAAATAATACACTTTAGTTATTTTAATCAAAATGTACAACTTTACTTTAGTACCATTTTTCTTTTATAGTATGGCAACCACGAGGGATCAACCGCTCACCGGGGCTCACAGTGAAGTTTTATGTCGGAATTAAACTGACTAAAACCACACGGTGGGCAGTCAGACCCATATGGATCTATTGCAAGGGATGCGGGTGTACTATAGTAAGGAAATTCCCGAGAACTCCGGCAGACCTTGGTTGCCACAGGCAGTTACACCATTGAGTGTAGAGAGTCTTGCCCTCCTTAAGGTTTAAAGAGGTGCACTTGGAACACGTCGCGCCTCGCTCTAAGGTGTTCACAATACATGCCTCCAACTTTTTTATAAATTTTCATATTTTTTTAATTTACCATAGTTAAATAAATCTAAACAATAACTATAACTTCATATAAATAAACACGTTTACGTTATGGGCGAGTGCATAAATATGCGCCGGGAGGAATAAGGGCTGGGTTTTTTAATATATAACTTTCGTGATACATATGTAATATAATAGATAATATTAATAAATTTAAGTATGTAGACAGTTGACTTTTTAGAACTCTTTTCAATTTAAAAATGTATTATTTTTAATTATGAATTTGAATTTAGTATAAAGGTTGTGAGCTATATCGATATATATATGTCTTCTGGAAGGTACAATAAGAAACCTTCTTTATAAATGTAATGTTAATAGTTTTTTGTAAGTAAAACATTGTCGATGCATAGAAAATGGTGATGAATTCCGGAATAAAAAAGAAAACACTGCATAATTCATTTAAAACACTTTACTTTTAATGCACTGTTTAATTCAATTATCATAAAAACTTACTATAAGTATTACTGATTTGCCTTAATCCAATCCGTGGCACGAGATACACGAGCATTGATACTGGGGAAGTAACGAACACCACAGTTGATACCAAAGGAATAGACGCCGACAAGGACGCCATTGTGAAAAAGACCACCGCCGGCGTCTCCCTCACATTGACCACGGCCAGCAAATTCGAGCGAACCAGCGCACAACATGTTGTCGGTGATTACTACACCTTCAGTACTATAATGCTTCTCACAGATTTCCTGGTTGATTATGAAAAGTTGTACTTCACGAAGTTGTTCAGAACGAGGACCGCTAAACTGCAAAAGCAAAAGAAGTCTATTTAAAATATATTGTTTCTATTTTGTTTATACACAATGATGTAGTGAACAAAATATGTCGCCGAATGTCGTTTCCAAACTAAAATTCTATTTGTTAAACATCATTTTAGATAGCAGACCCAGAGCTCTCCGTGCAACACATAACTTTTGAGCCTGAAGCACTTCAGCATTTATACTATTCACAAATCATTTCGAGTAAATTCTCTCATATTTATATGTATATATATCAAGATATTGAATTAGATCATTGAAAATTAAATAGTGAAAAATATATAAATCGAACTCCCTGTATAATTCATTTCATCACTGTACATCATGTACTTTATTAACATTTTCCAATATGTTCGAAATTTGTTTCTTAACATAGTAGACCTGTAAAATTCCTGCGCAATTTAAATGGTTTCTTAAATTTGCAAAACTTACTGTTGACGCTCCCCATCCAATAGCTTTAACAATTGCGTTGTCATCTAGTGTATAGTTATTATCAGCGATAGGCGCAGGTTGGATTTGTGTGGTGTAGTTCATGTAGGTTGCAGTGCGTATCAACCCAAAATCATGGTCTTCGGTTTGTGGATTGTAGAAGGGATGAGGGATAAGGTCAACAACGTTAAGAGAACTTCCACCACTGCTCGCCAACGCAGAAGCGATACGAAGACGGAATCTGCTATATGGATGAAAGCTAAAAAAAAAAGAAAGTTCACGTAGTAGGATTAAAGTATTTAAATGCAAGTAAAATGAACTTTTATAACATTTCAAAAAAAAAATACCTGATACAATGAGCAGCAGTTAAAACAGTTTGATGGTTTAATATAGTTCCGGCACAGTATTGTTCAAAGGTAGTTAAGTCCCACGTGAATAGGACGTTAGCCATTTGGGGCCATTGATTAATGTGAACAGGTGTACCACCTATTAGTCTTGGAGTTATATCGGCACTTGGAGCAGCTAAAATAAAAATAAATATTTTGCTAATATTACGCCGTTCGTATTTTGCTAAAAACTAATACTGAACATAATTATATTATTTTGCTTGATAAGAACGGTTTATTTATTACTTGATTTAATTGATTTATAGAGGCCTGTGTATACAAACAACACAATTCTATTTCATGGGCCTCAGGTATAACATAAGAAGGAAGTCCCCGAAAACTCAGCCAAATCTAGTACCCTTCATAAATAAGAGCAAACCAAGAGCGACCTCTTTACTTAATATGCGTGGAACGTAACGGGCAGCATCATCGATTACCCTAGACCCTGGTCTCACTCGTGGAGATCAGAGTATATTTTGGGGTCTCTGTGGCCTGATGTCTCTTTTGCAGGATGAAAGACTACTAGCCTTTTATCATTCCCTTTTCGCTGCTTCTTTAGCGGATATCACTTCTTAACAAATCAAGGCGACAGAATCCCGAGCGCATTCACTTTGGACCATGGAAGGAACCATGATCTCTAGCGAGAGCCTTTCCACACCACTAGTAGTCACAGGTCAGCTCTATGCTGCGTTCATAATACTCTTTAAATACTATACTTTAGTGTGGAGTGCAATGTCCTCACGACAGTCTCAACAGTGACGGCATAAAAAAGTTTATTCCCCAAAGTTTTTGCTTGACCGTTAAAAAAGCTATGGTATAAATTCGGAAGAAGACTCACCAGAGACGGCCGTAATGCAAAACACCAAAGCAGTTATTAGACGCATATTGTAACTATTTTCTTACTTATTTTAATGTAGTTACTTGACACGTCATAACACTGTTAGTCGTTAGAAGCGGGAATGCCTTTTATAGTAAAATATGGTTGATGCCCCCCTTTCTTACTTATCATCGATTGATTGATCATTATATTGGTATCTTTTCATTAATCTGATTTTAAGGTACTAAAACCGAATAATTTTTTAGTGCTTTCGGGTGATAAGACTGAGATTGATTAACGATTAAAAATTATGATTTATTTATTTTTTCATTTATGAAGTAGTATAACCACATCATATATTTTAACACAGTCACAAAAAATATTGTGTTATTATTAGACACTATTGTAGACTAATTAACATGATTTTTATAATAGCAGTAAACAAGTTCAGGAGTTGCATAGCCCGGATTCTCCAGCTTTCCTCAAATCTGTGACAAGTTTTGGCGGCCTTGTCCTGTTCTAAAAGTAATCTTGTTCAGGATAAAGTAAAAACACATGACATTTCGTTTTTGTTGACGGGATGGAAATTCCCTTCCGATATTTTACATGACCTAAGAGAGATAGAAAGTATAAATATGAATTTGAATTGATGTGAGGAAGTCGCAACTATGTGATAAAGTATCCATAGCCTATCTGTCATCATCATCATCATCATCAACCTTTAACTGTCCACTGCTGGACAAAGCCTATCTTTTAAAGCACCCCCGTGATTTTAATTTCAGCAACAGCATGGGCCTATCATATATAACACAAAGCCTATCTGTGTATTTTTTATGAAATAGGGTGGCTAACGAACAAACGGGTCACCTGATGTTAAGTGACTACTGTCGCATGTAACCATCTCCTACCCAACGGTGCCTCATCTGCCTGCAATATTGCAGTTGCTGCTTTTGGAGAAGACATTAGCCTCCTAAGTACCAAACAGTATAATGTTATTAGAAAAACTAATGACAGAATTCGAGACTTATGTCCTCAATAGCACCTATTTTTATAACCAGGATTGATGACCCTTTACTCTGCGAAGACTCCTACCAAGAGACTCACTACTTCTAGAAGAAGTGAACATACAACTGTCAAACTATTACAAAGGCGATTACGTTGAACTTAATAGATATTTAAACAAAATAGATTGGAGTGAAACGTTTGAATTTTTGTTTTTGTTTTTCAATTTTGAATAAATGAGGAAATAAATTAGAATATAGAGCTTTATTCCAATTTAAAATAAGACTAAAGGTCAAAACTATTCCATTTCATACAGCCGTTTAGCTATTCATCTCGTAACGGTGGGGCTTATGGTTCAGGCACCAGTTAGCGTAGTTTTATTAGGTGAAACTCAACAAGACCTTTCATACACATTCACTAACATGTATTTACCATGTGCGTTATATGTAAAATGGAAGTTAGTGGGCAGGTTGTCGTAATCTAGATAGATTTCGAAAAAGAATTAGATCGCGTCTATCATATTAATTATTCATTGTGATAGTCAGCTCAAAACTGTCCAACCAGTCCCAGGATATCACAAAAGTTCGGTTAAACAACAAGAAAAATTACAAAGTGACTTTTTTAAATTAATAACTTCACACATCTCACACACGGCAGTCTAATCCCAAACTAGGCAGAGTAATGGTAATCAGACTGCTGATAAACAAATTAAAATGCGACTGCTGGGCTGAGTTCTCGGGTTCGATTCCCGGGTCAGACCAAGTGATTGTATGATCTGCAATATTTGTTTCGGAGTTTAGGTTTTATGTATATGTATAATATATATGTATTTACAAAAAAAAAGATAAATAAGTATTCTATCCGCCAATCTAGATTTCATTGTACAAGCTCTGTTTATTTTGAAACTACATGGCGTTGTGTGTTAGGTGTCCGCAAAAAAAGTCCTTATCCAATTAAATACGTTAGATACGTTGTGCATTTAATGTATATTAAAATTGCTCTGAACAGTGTAAAGCATATAATTAAAATGAATATTTTAGAATATATTAGAGGTTTAAAATACGGGGGCAAAGCGACCGCTTCGGGCCGTACGTCCGTCGCGAGTGGCAGCGGTCAGCAGGATCGAGCGGGCCTATAAATATTGCATATAAAGATGTCCTGTAGTATAGTCCTATCATTTTACATTACTTCACACTGACATCACGTTAGTAGTATTAGTAGACACAGTACAAATGATCGTACACATCACACTAATATTTGTCCTGGATGTTAATCGAAGTCACGATCTCCGACTTAGCAGTCAGGGTCACTAACCCCAGGACCAACATTGCTTCAAATAAGGCCCGGCAAAGTTTGTGTCCTTTTTCATTTTTAAATTTCAAGTTATTTGTCCTGTTGGTACATATTTATTACAAGTTGACGCTCGTGACTACATCTGTTTTAAAAAGCATTAGAAGTTATTTTAAATAAGCGGACAATTAACATATTCAGGATTTTAGGAGTATACAAAATTGGGCACATGCTTACCAAACTCACCTCATTTAAATCATTCGATTCTATTATTTTAATTATAGGTATTACTAGCTAATCCGGCAAACATTGTTTTGCCATATAAAAATAAATTATATAATAATAATATTAATTGATGTTGACCGATTCTCAGACCTACCCGATATGTACACAAAATTTCATAAAAATCGCTAGAGCCATTTCGGAGGAATTGGTCACAAACACCGCGACACGAGAATTTTATACATTAGATTATAATTATTTTCATTTGCAAAGGAACTAAGTGGTTACAATAACTTAGGGTTTTTTGTTTGGCGAACATTGCCGTTTTATCTTATGATAATTACGTCCGAAGAACTCTTTCAAATACACACTGAACTATCTGACAAAGTGGACTATTTAGTGTGTACTATGAAGTGAAGTATACACTTTTCTATTTGTACTTATTAGACTGAAACTAATTTGTTCTAGTGATTTAAGAAAATGATAGATATTTTGTATTCTATTTTACATATTGTGAGAACAGTTCAAAATTTTCCAATTCTGAAGTAACTTTTGATTTGCTCTGAAAAGTTTAGGATCTGTTAGTAAAAATCTGAAACTTACCGGCTTAACTATTTATAGCCTAAAATATGTTCCAAAATTCGTAATTAACTTTGCCTAGGAACCTTGGATATTAGAACAAAAAAACTGATAGACATACAATAAATTTAAATCCTTGTTTTGCTTTCTTATAGTGCAAGTAACTTTTAGAAAAATTACGGAAAGGCTCTTCAATGGCAATTTATATGCATCATCATCGTGACTTAATTGTATTCATATTCATAGTTTCTATTAATTAAAGGTAATATATACTAGGTGTAGCAGCGTGTCCTTATTTACCTTATTTGGAGTACGATAACCCGTGCCGACTTGCATCGAATCATGATCATGCGCGGCAGGAGGGATGCGAATTTGCGGTATTTGTCATTATTTTGTCTCTTGTAATGAATACAAGATATTTACAAGCGCCGAGAGGAAGACATTAAAAACAAAATGATGCTTTGGAACGAATGAAAATTGAAGAAGATAAAATATTTTTACAAAAGTAAAGAGAACCAGGGTGTCCAGGGTGTTTAGCGGTTGTACACAAAAAGTTAGTCGAAAAAGAAGAAAGGGCAAGACAAAGACAATTAAATGAAGAGAAAAAAAGATATGAGCAAATGTGTTTCGGAGGTTTATCGTTCATCTCTTACTACGCAAGATTCTATACAAACGCATGGAGATCACGATCAACTTACCAGATCTGATTTAAGCCTTGAGCAACCCTTGCCATCCACCTCTCAAATGGTAAGATCTAAAACTACTACAAAAAGAGGAAGGAAACACTTTATCACGCCTAAGTTGGTTGCAGCTTTAGATAGATGTCTATAAGGCAATAGAGATTCTGTCTATATACTTCAGGATGTAGTGAAAGCACTAGATCTTAGCCGTGATGATTTTCCGATAAACAAATCGCCCATTCAAAGCATTCGCACACAGTCGAAAAGATAAAGCGGAATCTGTGAAATCAGATTTTCAGAATAATATGCCTAAAATAGGGACCGTTCACTGGACTTATTGAGTTTTTAAAAAGTACAACAATGATACTTCCTACTTAAAATATTAGTCATTGTTGTAACAAGTTGGTACACATAACACAACTAATACAGTATCTTGAAAGTTTCAAGTAATGCCTTGTGTTAATTGATAGGTTGCAAATAAGGACCTGCATTGATTAAAGTGGTCGATATCGACCACTTTGGGAATCCCTGCACTAGACCAACAGGCCCGTCAAAATATGCTAGGTTTTATAAATGATTGACCATTTTATAAGTTTTTTTGTAGTTGTTTAAAAATCCGTTTGGTAGTTTTTGAGTTTATCGCGTTTATACAGACATACAGAGCGGCCGGGGGACTTCTTTTTATAATAAAGTATAAGGATTAAAACAATTAATACTTTGATTAAAATTCTCAAAATTTAATAACTAGGACTATTAGGTTTGAATTACACCCATGTCCAACCGCAGCATAACTGCGAAAAACTATACACATAGTTTTCATATTATAAGACCACTAAGAGTTAAAGTAACTAAAACATGGTGTCGGTTCTTAGTTAATACGTTTAAGTCTGTTAAGTCTCATATACTTTTAGCATATTTTCTTCTACAAGTTGCCACTTTAATAACAGCCTACAGAATAATGAGACTAGAATTTTAACATTTTTCTTCAATAAATTGTCTTTGGTATTTATAAATTAAAAGTTCGTTTATTTAAAATTACAAATCTAAGATATTTGCGCATTTTACATTTAAGTTCTTTATTGATATCCTTGAAATGTTAACCTCATTTTTTATTAATGTTTTCATGTTTTTTTTAAAGCCTATTTTATGTGCGGTCGACCGTTCTTTCGGAAAAAACGTCGAAAGGAATGGAAAAATTACATTTGCGCGAGCGAACCCGTGTGCATAACCTGGTTTTTAATATATATTTTGAGTTGATTTTGAATCGTAGTTTATAGGTTTTATTTTTCTAAAC